CAAACCTCGAGGTGTGTACCAGCGGCAGGCGTACCAAACCTTCATCGTCACAGCAACAACGATGAACAGATGGTTAAGGTTGTGGAACAGTCACGGTTTGGTTAAGCTTAGGCACTAAATCTACTTGCTTAGGTTTTGGGTGAAAATAAGCACTTCGTTAAGGTTAGAGGACCTTTTGTCGTCATGGCTACAATGATAAACATGGTTACGGTTGTGGAATAGTCATGGATAAAAGAAACATAGTTGATTATTGGTTTCACACAGGAAACAAACAGCAGTAGAGGTCACCAGACCATAAAGGTAACTATGGGTCAAAATAAGCTGCTGCACAGACGAGCTGTGGGCTCGCTGTATGTAACTTTCCATCCGGGCTGCGGCCGCGACGCCACGTGGAGACGTGTGATTGGTCTCTGACAGTGAGTACAACATTAATCAGGCTCAAGAACAGACTCAGTAATCTGTTGCTTCCCCATAACACGCATCGGACAAAACATCTTCACCACAAACCCTCTGCTCGCTGCAGCATCGCACCAGAGTAAACACAGCAGCTACTCACTGCTCACACAGTAGGGACATATGATTAAAGCATGATGCGGTCTGATTCGCTACAAGACATCCATCTGGAGTTGCTGTGGTGATATTAACTGATGATATCCGAGGCTAAACATCAAAAGGTAAGGTATGTATGGTGGGAAATGCCATTAGCCCCTTCAGTCAGCATGCTAACACTAGCTTTAATGAGCATCCTCAAGTTAGCAAGTTAGCAGCATTCAGTGTCACTGCTGCCAACACAACCAGACACTTTCCCTCAAACTCTGAAAATCTTTCTCTGAAACTGTCTGACTTTACATTCTTACAGACCTTATATTCTCTGTAGTCACAATCAGGACGACATACTCCTGACTGGTTCATGCATGCAGCTGCATGGTCTGCACCAACAATAAAATGGGACAAAGACTGAACCAATTTCACAGCCAGGCTGAAGAGAAGAAAAGATGCAACAGAAAGTAACAACAAATTCTGGCAGGAAGATTCATAGCCAGTGTGTTTTGTTATCATGTATGTGTGTGTGCGTGTGTATGTGTGTGTGTGTGTGTGTGTGTGTGTTTGTGAAAGCTTTTAAGACGTTGCCATGACATTATTGAAGAGTGTGACTTTCATTCATCTCAGTCTCACCCTCCTACACTGTCATGTCCTGGTGCTAATGAATGCCTCAGTGTCACACACACACACACACACACACACACACACACACACACACACACAGGAGCCAGGAGCTATTTGTGGTTCTGTGCCAAACTCTCACTTTTTTAAAGAGTCAGTCACACATGGACATTAACACCATCAGACAGACCTACCTGAGAAAAGTGTACACACACACACACACACACACACACACACACACACACACACGTATGAAATTACACGACATGGTACTGTCAGAAGAGTCTTAAAATGAGAGGCTGAATAACTAAGTGTGGTAACATAATACATGCTGCTGCTTTCACACAGGTCAAAGGAGCTCACTGACGGTTTGATGAGTAGGAACATGATGCCGGTCGTATGCTGTGACCTTCACAGTCACCAGACCTCAGCCCAACTGAACCACCATCATCATCATCATCATCATCATCATCATCATCAAAACACCATCAAAAACTGAAGCTGTTCTGGAGGCTCTAAGGCGAACAACACCTCCTCTTCATCGGTAACCCATCTGTGGATACACTTGCTGAATTGAAGTAGAATATTTTCTATTATTATGCTAGTTGCTAAAAGCAATTCTGAATTCATATCGTCATTCTCTATTACTGTAGCATTGAGCTCTTTAGTGGCTCGGCTCTGTGGATGATTCCAGTGTTCGTGGGTTCACCGGACTGAAACATGTCAAAATCTGTTGGATGAATTGCCATGGGCTTAGTTTCAAAACGGTGTCACCATCAAAATGAATCTCAAAACTACGTCTAAAAAACTGGTGATCCCTAAACTTCTCATCTAGTGCCACCATCAGGTCAGTTTTTTCATTTGTCCAAAAACTTTGGTTTCTGACCAAGTTGCAGCAAAGTCACGCCGTCACTTCCTTTTCTAGTGTCGGCAACTTCTTGTCTCCACTGCAGTCGCTATGAGAAATTTAAACCTTTAACAAAGTGAACAATTCAAAAACTGCAGCTCTTTTATTCATCATCGTGACCTGTTTTCATCCGTATCCGTAAAACTCACCATCTCTCTCGCTCTGACCGCTGATGAACAGAGAGAGAGAGAGAGAGAGAGAGAGAGATTGACAGACAACTGGGGACATTCATAACACACCCCCGCTCACTGTCAGCCCTCAGTTCAGAAGCTTCCTGCTGCACCAGGTGAGGTGAGTAATTATCAAATCTTTCCACTATTACTATTTTCTCCACACACACACACACACACACACACACACACACACACACCCATTTACACAAGGTAAATGAGACTAAATGTTATAAATGTACGTTTGACTGACAGGCTGTAAACCATCTATCTGACCATCCAGGCTGCAAGTGCACCATCTGTTTCTTTACAGCAAGATTTAATCAACCTTAATGAATGTGTTCTAAAGCTTCGGATATGAGGAAGAAAAAGTACAAATTAAATGAAACATGTAGATTGTAGCCGTGGGCACAAATGTCTGATATCTGATAACAGCTGTGTGGAAGCAAGCTTTTTAATGAAACACTAAAAGTAACTACTTCTAAGAAATTTAAACTGATGATGGCGTTTGGTCGACTTTTTCTTCTTCTTGCTTCTTACTCTGTAATAAGTGTAGTCGTGGTAATGTGTAGTGGTTCATTTTCCTCTCATCCATTCCTGTCACGCTGTATTTTTAGATTGTTAAATGTCCCTTTAACATTTAACATCTCACATTGAAACTCTGTACATGTGACGTCTTTCTTCTCATCAGCTGTTGATTGTTTTTGTGTGTGGGTGTGTGTCAGCATTTGCGTGCTCACGTGACGGTTTGCTGGAGCGTATCTAAACATCTGTACACGTGTGTGTGTGCGTGCGCGTGTGTCTGTATATGTGTGTGTTTGTGCAGTCAGGTTAATTAAGATATAGAAACAATTGAATCTGTCTCTGGAAGATGGATAACAACAGGAAGCCACATTAATACTTAAAGCTGCTGCCATGGCAACACAGCTTGACTGGCAGTGTGAACAAAAAATGAGAAGCTTGCTACACACACACACACACACACACACACACACACACACACACAGTACACACACACACACACACACGCACGAAGTATGCCCAGGACATCAATATGAAGGAGTGCAAGTGGTGTGTGTGTATGGCTGTGTGTGCACGTGTGTGTGTGCGTATGTGTGAGGGAGAGGTCAGAGGTCACCCTGCACAGCAGCCCCACACCCTACACAGTATTTAAATAAGCCATAAAGCATATGCACGCACACACAAGCACGCATGCATGCGCACACACACACACACACACACACACACACACACACACACACATATCCAGAATCAAATGTGACATGTGTTGGACTATCCCCAAAACTCAAGACAACGCTTCAACCACATCATTTTCAGTACCGACACACTGTTAGTGCTGTTGCTGTCAGACACATAATCCACCTATGATGTACTGTATGGAACATTATGTGTATGTAATTGCACATGCATATGTTATCTGTACATCATGATGATGATTAATAAGAAATAATAAAGTGAATATTTTTATGATGATCAGTAAATATCAGCAGCCGTCAAAGTTGTACACATCTAAATGAGGTCCTGTTCTTTTCCCCTCAGACACACACACCCACACAATACACACAGTATGCACAGACGATGTCACGGATCACGTAAATAATGAAAAGCATTCACATACACACACACACACACACACACACACACACACACACAGAAGCTCATCCAAGGGGATGCTGAGTTTTGCTCAATATTTATTACCTGTTTCATTTTTCACTGTGACACTGTGTATGTGTGTATGTGTGGACCAACCAGCTCCATCTGTCACTCCAGGTGGCCACTTACACCTGGGCGCACACACACACACACACACACACACACACATACAGACACACACACACACACACACACAAACACACCAAAGACTAACAAATGATCACTGATCCAAGGCTGGACAGAGAGACTGATTTTTTTCTCCCTTTTATTCCCCTGCACAATGATTAGTTCCCTTTTTGCACATGCTTGTTCCCTATGTACACTCACCGCTTCCCTTTGCACACTCACTTGCTGCCTACACAAACTCACTTTGTACCGATGTAAACGTTCTTGTTCCTTTCACACCTGTCTCCTTCTCTTTACATGGCCACTTGTTCCCTATCTGCATTCACTTGTACCCTTCGAACACTCAATTGTTACCTATGTACACTCACCGGTGCCCTTCACACTCTGACTTGCTCCCTTAAACACAAGCAATTATTTCTCATGTCCACTCACTTGGTTCCTATAAATAATCGTCTGTTCACTTTACAAACTTTCTTGCTCCCTAAACAAACACACTTATTTCCTATGTATACTTACATACTTGTTCCTTTCACTTGTTTTCTTTACACAGTCAAGAGGCCCCTTCACACATTTTTCCATTCTCCATACACTCTGACTTTACATTTACCCTCTTTCCCTCACTCATTCCTGTGTCATTCCTTAACACACTCAGTTGTGCCTTTAACACCCCTAAATACACTTACCGTATCCACTCTAGTGTGCCTGTAGGGTTCCCTATTCATGCAACACTTAGTACCTGCACACTCCTTATGTTGCTTATGCGTTTGTCCGTCATGTTTCTGCGTGTGTGACGTCAACAACTTAGCAAGTCGAGCAAAAGCCAAAAGTTGTTGCTCAGACATGAACAAAACTCATTTTCCAATCGTTCCGACACAACACGAATGTAGTGTTATTCCTTATGTGTTCCTAATGTCCCCAGACACACTGAACATTGGCCAGTAAACTGAAGGTAGACCGACCTGTTGGATGAACGTGTGCGCTCCGTTGGGGCTGAGCAGCAGGATGGCTCTGCGTAGTGTGTCTCTGTACCGGTTGAGCTCCTCGGTCCTCATGGTGGTGAAGAGGTTGGTGAAGACTCGGCTGATGTTCCTGTCCACTCTCTGCAGCGCGACGTCAACGCCTTGACGGGACGTCTGGTCCAAAAAGCCCTGCAGGCCGCGGATATCTGGAGGAACAGGAGGAAGAAAAGAGTCAAATATAAATCATTGCAAATGTGCTTTCAAGAAGAGTCTTGAAATCTGAAGATAGAGCACAGAGAGACACTATTTAAGGAAGGGAATGGCTGGACGTTTTTGACTTTTACATATTTCAAAATTCCCAACAGTTCCCAGAAGACTACGACTTGTTTTATTTGATATTAGATGAAGGTTCCCTAAGTTAATTTGATGTGGCTGGTGGAGTCAGTTGCTGAAGGACTGGAAACCTTTAGTATCCTGTCAGGATTTCAACCTCGACTCCCGGTGAAAATGAAACCTCCTGCATGTTAAGAGCCACTGTTATCTCACCTCAGCCACTATAATGCTGGACTGTCAGAAAAAGCTTTTGACCTGACAGTTGAAATCCAAGGACTGTCTGGGAAAGATAATGAACATCGCACTCACTAGAGAAAGAACAGAAAAACCTTCCCTTGATAAATAAAGGCCAAAAAATTGATTGTGTCTTTTTCAGAGTTGGTCACGGGGCGCTGAAGTCGTGTTCGTGACCAATCAAAACGAGGCAAAGAGAGACATTTAAGCCTGACGAAGAACAATGTGACAGAACTGTGGCAAGTGAAGAATTCTTCTGCTAAACTGACTCAGTCCATCATCTGAAGTGTCCTCTACAAGGCAGCCAAGCTAAATAAAGACAACATCCGTTACATCACACCCCCACCCACAAGACCTCCCCTTGTACCAAGAACTTGTGTGTTTTTAATAGTGTGTTGTGAAATAATCTCTGATAGTAACCAAGACAACATGTTTTCCACAACTGTCTCCATACCAACACTCTCTGGAACAGAAAACGCCAATCTGTATTATAACTTCTGCTCCATGGCTCTACAGCTGTTGGCCTGATTTTAGTCCTGAACATATAGAGAAGGATTTCACTGGATGACAGGAGACTCAAGACAAGATAACGACGGTGGTTATTTGCTCACAAACCTGAAAATGGTCCATGGTTATGCTTATTGTA